TATGGGCTATATTGTGGTAGCCAACACAGTCTACTGCAGGACAATGAAGATTTCTTAGAAAAATCACGTGCATCATTTCTTTCTCATATCCTCAGTGTGAACTTTGGAAAGCTATACTTGGTACTATATATTCTTGAAAGAAAAGACAGAAGCTAACAGATAAAAATTGGCACTCACCTGGCGGAACTGCTCTAGGTCAATTTTGTTACCCACCAGCACCAGAGGAATTTCGTAGGTGTGGCGGACCTGAAAAATGAGCTCTTTGAACTTGGCAGCCTCCTGGAATGATTGGCGGTCAGTGACAGAGTAGCAGATGATGAAGCCCTCCCCACCTCGCATGTACTGCTCCCGCATGGCTGTGAATTCTGCCTGTAGGGAAAGAACAAAACTGTTTATGGGCTTTGGGTAGAGAGAATCAATATGAGATCTAAATGTATTATTTTGAAATTTGATCTTTTTAAACTATTAAGACTGCTGATATTTTATCATATATTAGAAATCTTGGAAGGATTTTTTAAATGGCAAATTTCATCATGGATTCACACATAAGGGGATTACATATAGATAAAATATTTTTGATGTTTTTAATGACTTCACTTTAGGAAAATGAGTCTAAATTTGGATGACCTAAATTTGTATTAAAATTACTTGAGCCTAGGCTAAATATTCTCTACATTACATATTTTATGTATTTACTCACTTCCTACTCCTTGGAACTAGTTTTTTTTTTCTAGAAACCATTGATAAAAATATGAATGATCTAAGGAAGCTGGCTTTACTTTGCAAATGAGAGTTGGTTTGTACAGGGAATCTGCCATAGGTCTGCCAAGGGACCTGGGAGAACAAACTAGTTTTCTACTTAACAAATGAAGACAGACTAGAATCAGACCTAGATAATCTTTGTGCATAGAGGAAGTTATTAGCATAAATAATCCAGACCCATCTAATTTTAAAGAGGTGCATAAACGGAAGGATCTGATTTGCTGAGTGATAGGTCAATTTCTATATTCTGTTGAGTTTTTTATCTTCCTGTCTCCCTGCAGGGGAGGGCATCAGTATATTCCAGATGGTACC